CGTGCAGCTATGACATACAACTATCTACTGGGGCTTTGGGGGGCAAAAATAAATAAATAAATAAAATTAAAAAAACAAACAAACAAAAAAAAACCCGTCCCACTAGCATTTCCGCGGGCCAAACTGTTCTCCCTAACCTCTTAAATTGTGTCCCAAAACCTGAATCGGGGAGACAGATCTGAGGGCACATGCCCCCTGTCTCCCTGGAGATTGATTTCACAGAATAAAAGCTGATTTCTCCCCTCAAAGGTTGATTCCATAATTAATTGTCTGGTTTATGCTCATTGGGCAGAGAACTCAAATTTTGTGCGGTAACAATGTTAGCTGGAGGGAGGCATGGTGTTAAAATAGGGCTAACGCTGTCTAAAAGTTCCAATTTTGGAGTCAGACTTCCTGAGTTTAAATCTTGACTCAATGAATATTTCTTGAATGAATAAATGAATGGACCCATGAAAGGCAGCATACCCCAGGGGTAAGGCAGCATACCCCAGGGGTTGTTAAAGTATAATTTAAAAAAATTAAAACATGACTCATAAAAATACAAAATGAATGCAGGTCAAAGATTTTATTCAACCAATTAATTAATAAGAGAACAAATAAGATTCAAGATTGATTCAAAAGAGAATTTTAGGAAAGGATTATCAGTCAAGAATGCTGATATAGGGGGCTGGCCCAGTGGCGTAGTGGTTAAGTTCGCCTGTTCCACTTCGGTGGCCTGGGTTCACTGGTTTGGATCCTGGGCGCGGACCTACTTACCGCTCATCAAGCCATGCTGAGGCGGCATCCCACTTAGAGGAACTAGGACCTACACCCAGGACATACAACTATGTACTGGGGCTTTGGGGAGAAAAAAGAAGAGGAAGATTGACAACAGATGTTAGCTCAGGGCCAATCTTCCTCAAAAAAAAAAAAAAAAAGAATGCTGATGTGGCTTTGCTAATAGGTAGATATAAAACTGACTAATGTCATAGAAGGCAATCTTATACAATTGTAAAGTACCCAAGCAATAATAGGACATCAAACAAGGGTACACACCCCCTGGAAAATCAGATAATCCTCAAGCTGGGTGAGCCTGCTTTACATCAAAAGACACCTAGTAATCGTGCCTATTTCCAAGTTTTGGGTAATTTTCTTAATAGGGACAAAAGTAGAGACTGGATTTGAATAACAGCTCTGCCAAACTAGTTATGTATTCTTGAGTAAGTAACTTAACGTAAAACTCAGTTTTCTTATCTGTGAAATGGGGGATGGTAACAATAACAACTACTATTTTATTTTATTTTTTGGTGAGGAAGATTAGCCCTGCGCTAACATCTGTTGCCAATTCTCCTCTTTTTTGCTGAGGAAGATTGGCCCTGAGCTAACATCTATGCCCATCTTCCTCTACTTTATATGGGACGCCTCCACAGCACGGCTTGACAAGTGGTGCATTGGTCTGCACCCAGGATCCGAACCTGCAAACTCTGGGCTGTCAAAGCAGAGTGCGTGAACTTAACTGCTATGTCACTGGGCTGGCCCCAACAACTACTATTTTTTGAATTGAGGTAATATGTATAAAGCACTTAGTACAGTGTCTGGAAAGTGCCATAGAAAACACTTAAAAGATGTTAATATATTAACATTCAACATTCTCCACCAATTGTTTCACCTTGTTTTTCTCATTTCTTATTACTTGACATTCCAGCTTTTTTGCACCAGTCAAGCAGATATATTTACACACACACACACGTTTCATTTGACTACTACATTCTTTGCTTGTGGAACATCCCCTTTCTACCTTATTCAAAGGAAAAAAAATTTCAACATTTATTCCATGGATAATGAAATCTGCATTATTTCCACCAAATTTCAATCTCTCCCTGACATACATAAAATCTCTCCAGTTTTATTTTAAAAATCCTAACCACCACCTGTAATTTTACCTACAAATGAGTAAGCACAGTCCAGCGCTCCAGTCCTACCTGGAACACTCTACCTCACCTGGCTCTCTCCTCCATTTCCCAGAGTTCCGCCTAAACGTCACCCTTATCAGAGAGGCCCTCTCTGAGTGAAATGACAACTCCTCCAGACAAATCTTAGACATAAAAACGGTCTCTGGCCCTCCAAAGGGCCAGAGTACATAAGCAGATATAAAGTACATCAGTGGTATTAAAATTTCATGGAGGAGGATTAGAGAGGAAAATGTCTTTTTAAGCCTCCTGGGGAGGGGGAGACAACAATGAAAAAAGATTGAGAAACCGTACCCAGGAATCACTCTTATTTGTTTCCTGTGTATCAGCTTGTTCCCTGACTACCCTGAGAACAGTGTGTGATGACAGTAATAAATCACAGTGGTCAAAAGAGCAGGCTCTGGAATCAGACTGCTTGGATTTGCACCTTGGCTCTGATATTTCTTAGCTGGATAACATAGAGCAAGTTAACCTCTGCTGGCCTCAGGTTCCTCATCTAGAACGTTACCTTAATACCTTCCTCTAGGGTTGTAGTACTAGTAGGTGAGGTCACACAGAAGAGCGCATAGGAAGAGCTTAGTAAATATTTATGAAACGTGCACTACGTGTTTTCCACAAACGACTGGACTAATGCTGGTTGGTCTCAATAACAACAATCTATAGATGACTGGAACCACTTTGACAACCAGGAAAGAGTTGTAGGCTGCTCTGCAACAGCTCTTTACACCTAGGGTCCCTCATCTATTAAGAGGGGTAGTTATTGCACCCGCCTCTTGGGATTTAGAAGGACTAAAGTACTTGATTCATGTAGTGTGCTTAAAATAGTGCTCCACATCTTTGCTAACGTTAGCCCCGCTACAAGACAAGCTCCAAGGTCCCAACCAGACGAGACAGCAGGACATAGGTGGCCGGTCTGGAAAAATCAGACCCTGCCCTAAGACTCAAATGGAGCACCTACGGCCTAATGCACTTTCCCGAAACGGCTCCATGCAAGGCACCCACCCGAGCTCAGCCCGGGGCCCAGTACCTGAGTTGCCCCCCGCGCTGGGACCCTGAGCACCAGGCCCGGAATGCGCGCTGGGCGGCTGGTGCGGAACCGAGTCGACGCCGCTGGAGGGTTCAGGAGGTTCGGGATCCATAAAAGCGTACCCTGCACGTGCGTTTAGGGTGTGTGGGCAAGGAGGGCTCAAGGAAGGGTGTGGGGACAGGCGGCTGTGACCGAGACAGCTTCAGACCACGATCGGCGTGAAGCCCGGGCCCCAACGCGCTAGACTCAACGGAAAGCCGCAGCACAGACCCCGCTGCAAGCGATGCGCGCGTCTGCGTACTTCCCTCAGGCGCATGCGTACCTTTTTCGCGCCTCACCTTCTGCGGACGAGCACTCAATGGTCGCCCTCTCTACCCACAACTCCCCAGGCTCGCACGCCCTCTTCTTATGCGCGTGCGCGCGCCATAGTCCCGCCCCCCCCCCCCAAATCCCGTGGGCCCCTGCGAGGTGCTATTTAAGTGTCTCGCTGTGACCCTTCGGCCTCATTTTTCTCCACTGTTTCTGGTAAGTGTGTGGTTTCTAGCATTAAAAAAGACCGGGTGACCGTGGTGCCTGCTGAGCCTCCCTGTGCTGCACCTATTTGGTTGGTGGGAGAGGGGTACGAGATCTTGGCCGAGGCCTCGAAGCAGCAGCGGGGCTTTGTGAAGGACAAGATGGCGATGGCGGGCCTGGGCGGTGGCCGTCTCTATGATGAAGCCTTTTCACAGACCTGTACTGAGCTCCGTGAGGATAAGAAACTCTGAGGAGACGGGCCGTGCACAGTCGAAGTCCGACGCAGTCGGAAAACGAGGCCTTGGCAAAGTATCCAATGCTGACCTAATGTCCTCTTGTCTGCAGGGTGCAGGCGCCGGATTTAACGCTGAAGCCTGGAAAAGAGGCCTCCTGTTAGAGTAAGTGCTTACAGCCATCCTCCACCACTGTTCTCCATTGTCGAGTGTGTGGATGTGCTATGGGATGTGCTACGGGGATGATTTTAGGAATGGAACTCTCTCTCTCTGATGGATGAGTGGAGAAAATGTAAGAATTCTGAGTAGCACCATCCGCAGCAAATGTTTGGGTTTTTTTTAGCTCTGAGCTGTTAAGGCGCTAACATGGGACGGTTAGGTTGTCGCATGTTAAAACTAAGTAAAGGGTGCTCTTGGTATTTTTCAGATGTGGTTCGGCTCGAAAGACGTTACAGGTTGGAGGATGGGACAAGACCTACTCCTGTGCGATTCAAGCATTACAGTGATGCTCCAGGTGGGTACACAATGGTTGATGCAGTTATGGATAACGGCACAGTGTCTCGATGGAACTTGCTCTTTGAAATTGTGCTGGCCACTCCATGATGAACGTAAAATGACAAGCATATGGCTGACCTTAAAAGTGATGTCATCTTACTACTGAGAAGTGGGCCGAGAGTACCGAGGGTCTTTGAATGGCTATTCTTAAGTACGTATAATGCTTTTCTTTTCTGTCTCCAGTATTTCGTCACCAATCCTGAGGAATTCAGCTGCTTCCCAGGGTGAATACAGGTAATTGTTCAAATGGATTGGGGTGTCATCTCTCCCGTGTTCCCCACAACCGGGAGAGCAAATGGTCAGTGGAGCAGTGTTGCCTTTTTGCTCCTTCCAGCTTGTTCTTGGAATGGTTTTCCTGGGGAGAGAGCAACCCAGCAGCACAGTTGGTTCTTGTGAGGGTGTGCTCTTCCCTCATCCACATGTCACTGTCAGATGATTTGAATTGATATGCTGATCCTCCATGAGGTATGACAGTTAATAGCATGTTAGAGTTCTGATGGCAGTTTCTATTAATGAAGAAATTTATTCCATACTAGTATCTTTTAATAACCATTTGCTCCCCTTTTGCAGGTCATCCAGATGATAAATTCATCTCACGGTAAGTTGCCTCTCCTGATACTGTGGTCAATTAGCATATATGTGAACTCATCCAAAGGATAACCTTGTCATCATGGGGTTTCTTTTTTTGTTACCAAAGCCCTGACTGCCTCTTATCTCTCCTAGATGCCCAGTGATCTGCCCCAGGTCGAACTCCTGGAAGGAGTTGAGAATGGTGAGTACTTGTAACCTTGCTGGTATTAGCTTGACCCAGAGTCTAGTGCCAGTGAGGAAAGCAAGCATCCCGTCTTAACCCCTGTTCTAGCGCCAGAGCCAGTAATGGTGAACCCACTGGGGCTAACTGGGAGAGAGGATGAGAACCTGTTCCATAAGGAACTGTCTGAGGTACAGCAAATGCCTGTTGGTAGCATTTGCTTAGCATTTCTTGGCCTGTCCACTAACCATAGCTAGAATAGCTTTGGCTGTTTTAGATATTTTGCTAATTACATGATTTTCTCATTCAGGAGCAGCTTGTTAATGTATACTACTGAAAAGCCTCCAGAATTAAAAGGTTAGTTGATTAATGTCTCTATGGTTTATGCCACCAAGTAGACAGTTTCTATGATGAAGCAAACTAGCTCACTATGACTTCACAATGAAAACACGTGAACACCTGAGAAACTGGAGAACACAGTAGGGGAGGTACCATGTGTAAGGAACTTTTGTCACCCACAGCTTTGTCTTTCCCTAGGTGCTGTTTCCAGTAGCCTGCTTATTTTCTCAGAGGTGAGTAATTACCATGTATTGGTGTATGTAGCTCACTGGGTAGAAACAAATGCCTTTTTAGGTCTATATATATGATGACTTACATGGAATCTCGTTCGGCTGATAACTTGCTGTTGAGACTCGGAAATCTGATTTTTCTAGGAATGGTGGCTTAAGTGGGAACAACTTTTAATGCAAGAGGTAAGCATTATTGATTCAGTCTTGTTTCTTTCAGGTCCAGCACCTTGTCTGAAGCCCAAGAATGATTTGAGGTACATAACCTTCACAGCACTATCTGGCTGCTATATAAAATTTGCCAGTTTTTGTGTGCATGCTACTTTGGTCTGGATAGCTGTTCAGAGACATTACTGGCTTAATGAACCACCATTACTGGCCATTCCTGAACCACCTGTGACAAATGCCCACTCACCAGTGATGAGTTCAATACCGCCCCAGTCTGATCACTGTGACTGAAAGGTATTCTCTGAGCTGTGAGCTTGCCGTGGAGTGAAGAGTGACAATAATAGGAAGTTTTTTGGACTAGCTGGCGGTTTCTGTGAAATGTGTTGAAACCTACATAGCCTATACAGATGTGCCTTTTCTCCAAGCAACAGGGACTCTTAGGGGTGGTTGAGAGACTTAATTCCTAATCATTCTTTTGCAGGGTGAGCATAAGCCATATTTCTGCTCAACTGCAGTCTGAAGTTAGAGGTAAGTGAATTCAGATGCAAGGTTGGGCCAAGTTAAAATTTCCCAGTGAAGAAACATTCACACGTCTTACCTCCTGTCCTAGTCCCAGAGCCTGTAAAGGTGAACCCACTGGGGCTAGCTGGAGGAGAAGAGGAAAGTTTGTTCCAGAAGGAACTGTCTGAGGGATCATAAGGGTTTCTAAACATGGGAAAGGGAAAAATAAATCACTTGTTAAAAAATGACTTGTATAATTTTTTCCAGGACTGAAGAAAGATCAAAGCACATAAAATGGTAAGTATTTGTTCATATATTGGTGTTTAGTATTTAATAGACTAACCATGATAAAAGTACCTGGAGGCCAGCCCTTTTAATGTTAACTGGTGTGGTGTAGCCCCTTATAAACTCATAGTACATATAGTCTTTCCCATCCAGTAAGAAAACTCACTTTTCTTTTTTCTGGCAGGAATCCAGCTCTTAGAAGACATCAAAAAGGGCATTTTCAAGTTATTTCTTATACAACCTAGCTGTTCAAATTGGTGTACAGCCATTTTAGCCTTTCTAAATAAAAGGAATTTTTTTTAACCTTCACTGTGGTTTGTGTGTTTGAGTGGGTCTAGCTGAGCAGAAGGAAATAGGCTAGGAGAATTTCCTGTTATTGGCTCTGCCCAATTTAGCCTGGCAGTTTGCCTACTGCTGGATTGTCTAGCCCAGGGAAACATGATTCAGGAAGCCTCACTATTAGACCTTGAAGGGGTTTTTCCCCCCCATATATACACTGCTAAAGGAGTCCTGTATGAGAAGGTGGCTGGGTTTGAGTGATCCTTCAGCAGGAGCCAATGAGGCATGGCAGTTAAGATCCCTTAGACTCAAAAGATTGTCAGATTTTGGTATTTTATTGTCCGTTTTCTGTACATGAAGTTCCAACATGGTTTCTGTGGAATCTAACTGCCTTTCTGTAAGATCAGGCCTACCACTGAACGTTAGAAATACTGTATCAGTACCCATTTGGGTATATGGTTTCTCCATGTAGTTTATTTCCAGTCATTGAGTGTAAAGTTTGCTACTACTGACTGGCCTCTCCTTAATTTTAGCTCTGCGTTTCAACCTCACTGTAGCTCCTTTTTTTTTTCTTTCTTTTGGGAGAAAGATTGGCCCTGAGCTAATAACATCTGTGCCCATCTTCCTCTTACTTTATATGAGACACCACCACAGCGTGGCTTGACAAGCAGTGCATAGGTCTGCCGCCAGGATCTGAACCTGTGACCCCTAGGCCACCAAAGCAGAGCACACAAACTTAACCGCTACACCACTGGTTAGGCCCCTTACTGTAGCAACTCTTAGCATTTCTGTTCCTCTAGCAAGACTGAGCCTCTATATTTATTTTTTCCTCTGGAATTCTCTGGGTTCTTCAATGTAGGTGACTCATTCAGGGCCCTGTTCAAAAATCAACGCTGAGAGGTCTACCTTGACCCATCAGTCATTGTATGTTGGTGTAAATAGACTAACTTGATTGAAATAGGCCTGCTTTCGTTTGTCTCCTTCCACTTGCTCTTTCCACGGGTAGCAGATTTATGTCATGTTTGCCTAGATAACTGCACCTTCTAGGACATCTGGCAGGAGTGCTCAGGTGAGCATTTGTTGAGTGAATAATACAACTTGCATTGAACGTCCATCTTGATCTACATGTACCGTTACATCTGAGTATATATTTAGCAAAGTGGAGTTGTTCAAACAAACGCAAATGGGTACTTGAGAATTTACAATCTCATACAAATAGGTTTCCTGTCCCCACACATACCCAATGCAGTGTTTTCAAGTCTCTGCTTTTTAATTGGTGCTGGGCAAGCTGGCTTTGGCTTTTGGGGTTGAATGGAGTGTATGGTTAAGGGCAGTGGCAAGGTGCAAGTGGGGGGAAAGTTGGTGGGTGTATGTGTATGGTTAGGTCCATGACTCAAACTTCAGAGCAGTTAAGTAGTTTCCTAGACCTGGAGTCTCAAATCTACGTGGTTAACATGCACACTAACCCCCACATACCCCAAACCACCTTGCAATTCTGATGTAAGTTCTCAGATAATGACCACCCTTACATTTCTCAAAATATTTGTGAGAATGGATACCGAATGGTGATGAATTAAGGGATTTCCACATGTAGATTTTAGAATATACATCCTGTGTCAGAACTATAGTATAAGAAAGGCAACTTAACTGAAAGAAATGTATTTTTTGCTCATTAACTGGTACCCATACAGATCTGAGAATTGTCAACACAGTAATTACAGGCACGAGAATGGGAGGGTCAGTCCTGAAAGTGGATCTAGTAAGAAAGGACCCACCCAAGGACCCTGGGGAAGCACCAGCAATTTTTTTTTTTTTTTTTTTTTGGTGACGGAGACTGGCTCTGAGCTAACATCCATTACCAATCCTCCTCTTTTTGCTGAGGAAGATTGTACCTGAGCTAACATCTGTGCCCGTCTTCCTCTGTTTTGGATATGGGATGCTGCCACAGCATGACCTGACGAGTGGTGTGTAGGTCTGTGCCCAGAATCCGAACCTGTGAACCCCAGGCCACTGAAGCAGAGCATGCAAACTTAACCACTACACCACCAGTCCAGCCCCTACCAGCATTTTAAAGGTGGGAGGAACAGCAGAGGAGAAACCCAGAAAGAAGCACTGTAAGCAGTGGAGAACCTGCAGAGCGCTGATCTGGAAACAGGGAAGAGAACACCCACACACACACGAGATGAATCGTGTGATAAAGCCACAAAGAGGTCTGGTGGAACTGAGACAAAATAACTGCAAGCAGCTCACACTGCGCATTACCTCATCTCACCGTCTCACCAACACTGGGAGGCACGTGCCAGAAGCATCCTTGGATGGAGGAGGAAACGAGGCACAGAAAAGATAAGCAGGGCCGGCCCCGTGGCTTAGCGGTTAAGTGCGCGCGGTCCGCTGCTGGCGGCCCGGGTTCTGATCCCGGGTGCGCACCAACGGCACCGCTTCTCCGGCCATGCTGAGGCCGCGTCCCACATACAGCAACTAGAAGGATGTGCAGCTATGACATACAACTATCTACTGGGGCTTTGGGGAA